AAATAGCAACTATTCAAACAGGGTTTCACCCAACCTTAGGTCTATAGGATACTGATAAAGACTTACTCCTATTAGACAGATTAACTAGGAAACCAAAGTAGGCATCACCTAACCTTGGGTCTAAGGAAGGGCATCACCCAATCTTAGGTCTACAGGATGTTGATAGAAGACGTACTCCTAATAGATAGAATCAACTGAGAAACCAAGGTAGGCATCACTTAACCTTGGGTCTAAGGAAGGTTATCACCTAACCTTAGATCTATAGGATGCTGATAGAAGACTTACTCCTAATAGACACAATCAACTGGGAAACTATGGTAGGTATCACCTAACCTGGGGTCTAAGGAAGGACATCACCCAACCTTAGGTCTATAGGATGCTGATAGAAGACATACTCCTAATAGAAAGATTAATTGGGAAACTAAGGTAGGCATCACTTAACCTTGGGTCTAAGGAAGGCCATCACCCAACCTTAGGTCTATAGGATGTTGATAGAAGATTTACTTTTAATAGACAGATTAATTAGGAAACTAAGGTAGGCATCACCTAACCTTGGGTATAAGGAAGGGCATCACCCAACCTTAGGTCTATAGGATGCTGATAGAAGACTTACTCCTAATAGACAATTTAACTGGGAAACCAAGATAGGCATCACCTAACCTTGGGTCTAAGGAAGGGCATCACCCAACCTTAGGTCTATAGGATGCTGATTAAGGACTTACTCCTAATAGACAGATTAACTGGAAAACCAAGGTAGGCATCACCTAACCTTGGGTCTAAGGAAGGGCATCACCCAACGTTAGGTCTATGGGATGCTGATAGAATACTTATTCCTAATAGACATAATAACTAGGAAACCAAGGTAGGCATGACCTAACCTTGGATTTAAGGAAGGGCATCACCCAATCTTAGGTCAATAGGATGTTGATAGAAGACTTACTCATAATAGACAGAATCAACTCGGAAACCAAGGTAGGCATCGCCTAACCTTGGGTCTAAGGAAGGGCATCACCCAACCTTAGGTCTATAGGATGCTGATAGAAGACTTACTCCTAATAGACAAATTAACTAGGATAGTCATGCGGGGAGGAAACTTGCTTCGTATAGAGGATCAAAACCGGCAAACTAGGATGGTGCCACGAAGGGCGTACTCCACCACTAGTGAGTCTAATCCTAAGAAAAGGAAGGACCTAATCTTAAGGAAAAGACAGAAGTATCAAGAAAGTATAAGAAAGCATATATAACTAAATCAAAATTGCAAGTCAAAGAAAAGGAAAATTTTATTGATTTGACAAAATGAGCTACATCAAGCATAGTTCTTCATAAGGAAACGCCCATTAACAGGTAACATCGGGTGATTTCCTTTACAATCCACTAGCTAATACGAGCCTCCTTCGTAGACAGTCGCTACAACGAAGGGTGCTTCCCAAATTGGTTCAAACTTACCTCCCAACTTTTTGGGGGCTAAGATCAGCCTCCGAAGGACCAATACCAAGTCTCCTACTTGGAAGGTCCTAGGTCGCACTAACTTGTCATGAGCTTGAACCATTCAATATTTATACCACTCTAGACTTTTTTGAGCTTGGAGACGTCGCTCTTCAAGGCCTTCAAGTTCTTCCAACCGCAGTTTTGCATTTTGTTCATTCGTGATTTGATTCTGAATTATAATTCTGAGTGAAGGGATTTGTATCTCTAAGGGTAAGACGGCCTCAAATCCATACACTAGTGCAAATAGAGTGGATTGGGTTTGGGTTCTACAAGTGGTGCGGTAGGCCCATAGAGCTTCCACCAACCACTCATCCTATTGCCGCTTGTTATCATTAAGGGTGTTTTTAATGATTTGCACCAATGTTTTATTGAAGGCCTCAGCTAATTCATTTTCTCGGGGGTAATAGATCGTCGAGTATCTCCAATCAATGTTATGGCGTCTTACAAAACTATTGATTTTTGTAGACTTGAATGCAGACCCATTATCAGATATGATTCTGCGGGGTATGCCGAATAGATATACGATATGATCATGAAAGAACTTTAACACATGGTGGGATGTTACATTACGTAGGGAAATTGCTTTCGCCCACTTTGAAAAGTAATCAGTAGCAGCTAATATGAAATAATGACCTCTCGAAGAAGGGGGGTCAATCGGCCCGATAACATCTGTGCCCCAACTTTCGAAGGGCCACGAAGCTATCGTAGGGTGCAACATATTAGGCGACTGATGTAGAACCACACCATGGACCTGACATTGATGACAGCGCTTTGCAATATTCATTTAATCATCAATCATTGTAGGCCAATAGTACCCAAGTCTTTTAATTTTCAATTTCATCTTTGGACCCGATTGATGTGCACTGTATAGTCCTGAATGGACCTCAGTAACGATCTTCAGGGCTTCCCATTTGTCCAAGAAACGTAGCCACATTTGATCGAATGATCGACAGTACAATGAATTGTTGATTTGTGCATAAGATAGGGCACATTTCTTATTCTGATTGGAGAGAGATTTATCGTGGGGAAGTTTTCCCTCTTAAAGGTAGTCAATTAAAGGTTGTCTCCAATCACCTTCTTCTTCAGGCGTCGAATAGGTAGAAAGGATTTGGAGAGGTTTCTTACTGATATATTCTAAATCTATAGGAGAGAGGGCTTTGTGACCCTGAATCTCTATAGGGATTGAATCTTACTCTTGGCATGTGAATTCCTTTGCAAGTTTTGCTAAGGCATCTACTGAAGAATTGCTTCCACGGGGTACCCTATACAGAATCATGGTAAGAATTTGTTCGAGCAAGTGAAGGGTGTACTTGTGGTATTTTGAAAGATTAGGATTCAAGACCTTATAGGTTCCTGCAACTTGATTAATTACCAATTGAGAGTCACCAAAGATCTTAATCGCTTTAATCTCCATCAAAATTGCAAGTTTCAAATCGATTATCATAGCTTCATATTCAGCCTCGTTATTCTTGCAAGGCTCCAACAAATGGTAGAAAAAGTGCATCATCCCTCTCTCCGGCATTATAAAAATTAAGCCGACCCGTACCTTTCTAGGGATTATAGATTGTTGGGTTGCATCCCGGCGAAAGGACACTACACCATCAAAATATAATTCCCAAATGGCTTCTCCAGATTTCCTCAAACTCATGACTTGTTCATCTGGTAAGTCATCATTCAAAGGAGAATCTGCCGGCAGCGGGTGTGCCTCCAGGAAGTCGGCAACGGCCTGTCCTTTTACAGCACGGAGGGGGATGAAAGTAATCTCAAATTGGAGTAGTATCATAGACCAACGAGCCAAACGTCCTGATAATGTCGGTCGGGTCATAAGATACTCCAAAGGATTAACTTTAGAAATCAAACTGATCGAAAGGAAAAGCATGTAATGCCTCAGCTTTTGGGCCGCAAAAACTAAAGCAAGGCAATGCTCAATTGGTGGGTATCAAATTTCAGTAGGGAGAAGTCTTCGGCTAAGGTAGTAGAGAGCATTCTCTTTTCCTTTGTCGTTGACTTGAGCTAACAGGGCGCTTAAGGATTCATCTAAGGCTGAAGTATAGAGGATCAACGGTTTTCCTGAAATCGGAGCGGCTAGAACTGGCAGATTGGAAAGGTATTATTTGATGTTATCAAAGGCATTCTGACACTTCTTGTCCCATACGAATTTAGTATCTTTCTTCGCAATGGTTGAAAAGGGTTGGCATCTCCCAGAAAGATTAGAAATAAACCTCTTTTTATATGCCAATCTACCTTGTAGAGAACTTAATTGAGTATACTCTTAGGAGATGGCATATCTAAGATGGCTTCAATTTTAGCAGGGTCGATCTCAATTCCTCGGTGCCTCACTACGAATCCTAAGAATTTTCCTGAAGTGATGCCAAAGGCGCATTTCAAGGGGTTCATTTTTAAATCGTAGCGACACAATTGTTCAAATACAACACTTAAGTAATATAGGTGAGCCTCTTTGACCTTAATCTTGACAACTAAGTCATCAATGTATAACTCCACTTGATTGTTGATTAAGTCATCAAAGATATGAGTCATGGCCCGTTGGTAGGTTGACCATCATTCTTCAGGCCAAAATGGCGTCACCTTATAACAAAAGATCCCTATAGGAATTCTAAATCCAGTATTTCTCTCATCTTCAGGGGCCATCTTGATTTAGTTATAACCAAATGAGCCATTCATAAAGGAAGAAATAACATGCGAGGAGGCAATGTCCACCATAAGTTATGATATAGGTAGAGGGAACTCATCTTTAGGACATCCCTTATTCAAATCCCTATAGTCAACACAAATTCAAATCTGACCGTTTTTCTTTCAAACTGGCACGATGCTGGCCACTCAAGAGGGGTATTGTTCCTCTCGGATGAACCCGACTTCGGCCAATTTTTTAACTTCGAAAATGACTTGTTGCTCAATCTCTAGGCGCATACGCCGAGGAGCTTGTTTAATAGGAATTGCATCATGCCGAACTCCAAGTCTGTGGACCGCTTCCTCAGCGGACATACCTGACATTTCATCGTATACCTAGGCAAAGAAATCCCTGAACTTAGATAATAATTGAATTAAATCTTGACTCTCACTCTCGTTCACTAAAGTACTTATGAAAGTAGGACGGGGGTCATCGTCAGTTCCTAGGTTAATTTCTCTAACTCGTCGACCGTTGATTTAATTTCCTCTTCGAATTCGAGGGGGTGCATCCCAAACTTGAAGTTCATCGGGATTGTCTAAAGTCTACAAACAGAGCCCATCCAAAGGACAGATGGGATCCATATGGACATTTGAAGATTCAAGATGATAAGTTATCATTAAGCAGTATTCATCATCATCAAATGAACTAACTGTTCCAAAGCCGATACCAGCCATTGGATTTTTCTTGATCTTGGGTTGCCAAATATTTTCATGGTATATGGCTTGACCCTTAGTCCATCGATACGGCACAGGACCTTTGGAAAAAGTATTTTTCACACAGACAGAGAAGTAGCCGAAAGGTAATTCCATTAATTCATTAAAATCTACCTCCTCAAGAGTTACATCACCTTCATCCCTTGCGGAGGAGGGGCTAGGAAAGAATTTCTAGACTTTCCTTACTTAACCGTTCAGGTTGGGGGCCACTTTGACCTCTAACCCGACAATCTTGCCAGCTGACAGTGGGGTTAGGGAATGGGCCTCAATCCTCCTACTAAGCTTTTCATACATTATTAATTCAGGCTCATCACTTTTATCCTTCGAGTTAATTCACCCTTAATCACATGTTCAATGCCATCTCATTGATACTTTACGCATTGGTATAGGGTAGATGGAACCATTCTATATTCGTGGATCTAAGGTCTACCTAGGAGTACGTTAAATGACGTTGCCGTATCAATTATATGAAATTTAGCTTCAATTTTCAACTCTCTTATCTCTAAGAGGAAAGTGATTGAATCTAAAGCTCTCTCGACTTTCTCGTTGAACCCATGGAGCACCAACTTATCAGTTGAAAGCTTGCTAGTATCAACTCTGAGGTAAGCGAGTGTCTTTATGTTCATTACGTTGATCGATGCACCTGGATCAACGAGGACTCTTGATTACTTGAAATTTCCCACATCTAAAGTAATGTAAAGGGGTCGATTATGGTCGGCAATTCCTAAGAGTAAGTCTTCATCTAAAAAAGTAACTCTAGGGACCTCTTTAAAGTAAAGTGCCTCATCTTTTGAAGTTGAAGCCAATTGGGCTAGGCAAATCTCAGGGTTGAGAAGTGCCTTGATTAAAGACTCGCTCATTTCTTTGGAAAGAATGTGGGCATCATAAATAATTAATTGTGTTGGAAACTTCCTAAGATGGGCAAGGACATTATAATCAACTTTAGGAATGACAGACTCGAAACTTGGAGGAATTAAAGGGAAATCAAATTTTTGAGGGGAGTTTGGGTTTAGATCTTTGAATATGGATTGCTTGCCTTTCTCTTATGGGGGAAGCCTAGGGGGTAAGACTTTACCACCACGAGCGGGCAAACTAGAGCAGTGTCTACACTCACCGTGGGCAACGGATCGTTATTTCCCGAAAGAGAGTCATAATCTAAAAACTCTATCTTGATAGGACTTCTCTGAAAGTTAAACTGGGAGAAATCACTCTCTGATAAGGTTTCACATTCAACATCTTCTTGAGTGGTCGACTCGGGAGGGTCGGTTTGTTTGAGATTGAGATTTACTTCAACAGAATTTTGATTTAAAATAAAATAATCATCAGATTGCACTTCAGACTTATGGCTAATCATCTAGATAGAGGTAGAAGGATATTTTTTATTCATCTTTTGACCCTTTGCCTTTGATGGGGCAAAGTAAAAGTCATATAACAAGAGAGGGGAAAGGGTTTTTACACCCCCATCCGCCACTCTAATACATCTCACATCAACACACTTCCTCTCTACAAATTCATCTCTCTTTTATTTTACATATTTCACAGTAGTTCCTACGACTACTAGAGAGGGAAGTGGCTCAACATCCTTTCGCGAAGCGTCCAGGTCAACTTCCCACACCGGGCCCTGGGCTGTCATAGTTAGCTGTTGAGAAAGATGAAAAGATTTGTTAATCGACTTTTTAAATGCCCGAGACAGAGCAATGTCCCAACCATCTTAGACTTAAAGAGAAGAGTTAAGAAGATTACTAGAGATAGTTTTGATTGAGGCCTTTTCTGGATCCACTAAATACTCCTTAGGAATTATAATATTACCTTGAATGTAGGTCCTCTCGAGCCAATCTTTGAACACAACATAATCCTCGAGTGGATGACTGAGGATTCGGTGGTACGGGCAGTATTTAGGATCCTCTTTCTTACTTTCATCCACTGGTCTCTTATCCTCTGGTAACTGGAAATCTGGCTTCTTTAACAAACTCTTGAAAATCCTTTTAACTGAATCCCTTTTAAATGGATAAGGTGTTTCCAATCTCTCTCTAAAAGGGATGATGGCATGATCTCTAGTATGCTGAGGAATTATCTGAAAGGGCTGCTTCTGAGGTGGCTGTTGTGGAGGTGGAGCGCTAGGCTGACTAACCACTGGCCTCTTCCCCTTGTCAACCGCTGAGACCATAGCTTTCTTCTCAAAAGTTTTAACCTCTTATAAGAATGGCATCCTAGGAGCCTCTTCCTGCAAATATCTAGCCATGTTGAGAAGTTTTTCAAAAGTTTTAATAGTGAAACCCTTCAGGAGAAAAGCATTCGGGCCATGAATATTCTTTAGATGAATTGGCGTATTGCTCTTGCAACTGGGGTTCACACTTCATCGAGAGATTTCGCCACCTCAAGATGTATTCAACCAGAGACTCTTCTGGCTTTTGCTTTTCAACAACAAGATCGCCCATAGTGGTGCATTATTGCGCTCCAGAAAATCTCTTTAGAAAAAGATTTTCTAGATCGCAAAAGGTTCTTACTGAACCGTTGGGAAGATTGGCGTACCACTCAAAAGAAATGTTGGACAGACTACTTACAAATTAACAAAAAAGTAGAGCATCTAACCCTCCTGCATTGCAACAGCTTGCTCAGAAGTGGGCCAGATGATGTCTCAGGTTTTCGACTCTGTTGAAAATTTTAAATGACGGTGGCATAAAACCCTTTGGATAAGAGACTGAGTCATACGCCTCGGGGTAGGGTCTACCCTTTGGAATAGACGCAGTCCCTTGTGAAAGAGCTAAGGCCTCACTTACTTGGTCCTCAATCAGTTGTTTAATGTCTTTCTAAGGTGGAATTGGAGGGGCGGTGGAAACTATGGGCTGAACTGAAGGTGCTTCTGGTGGGTAAGGAAGGATCACAGGTGCTGACTCGAGGGAGTTGGAACTAGATTCTACCCGTTTAGCTTTTTCTGTGATCTTTCGAGCTGATTACTGGATTTTAAGGGACTCTTGTTGTGATTTATCAAACCTTTCTTGCATTTCCTTAACTTGTGACATCATGCCTACTAGCTGAGTCTCAAAGTTTCTTATATGCTCTTCATCTCTAGCTTTTATTGACTCATCTGAATCTAACTGGATAGTAGGTGAATCTTCATCTCTAACGGGTCGATGCTTGCAGGGTTAAGCTTCTTTATTAGACCCTCTGGTTTCAACCATACATATGCTACCAACATAATCATATTCATCTTCGAGGAGATCATCCAGATCTGGGTCAAAAGAGGCCATTCCTTCTCTATTCAACAGAATGTTCCTTATCTCTTGTACTACCTCCTCGACCGGTCTATCCCTAATTGACTTGGGATCGAGGGGCAAGTATCCTTTATACTCAGCCATGTCAAACAGTTTTTCAGAATCCAATATGGAGATGATTTGTGTAAGCTTTGGATTAGGATCCGGCTGAGGCTCCGGAATTGGTTCATCTTTCATCTCTAGATCCTGATCAGTTCTCTCCTCTTGGACTATCCTAGAACTGGCAGTCAGAAGAGTGGCATCCTCTATGGGGTTAGGGACATATACCTCGGGGGGTGAAGTAGGAGCTTGTAAAGAGATGGCTCCTACATCTGGCAAGGTAAGGTCCTCAGACACCTAACTAGGGAGCCTAGGAACGACACTCAGATCTTGGAGCTCATCAACTAGGGTAGTAGTGGTGGTGGTGATTGGATCTTGAACTAAACTGGCGTAAGGGACACTATTGATTGTGATATCTAGAGTATTGACAAAAACATCAATTTGATCAACTGATATTGGAGGAGGAGTGACTGGAACTCGTTAGAGTTGAAGAATGAACTTAGAAGTTTTGGAAGGTGATGGTAAGTTCTCCAACTTAGTTCTTTTGGGCACAAATTTCTGCTCAGGGGACTTATGCCTTTTGTTCTTAACATCTACAGGTCTTCGAATTTCAGTCTCCTTTGGCTGAATAATCACTGAGGCCAACTTTACAAGCTTAGGAGGGGGTACTGGGGGCTACCAACAGAATGGTGGTCTCTCTCAGACCCAATCAACACAATACCTTCAATTTTAGAAGATGGAAGGCGTGGCACCCAATGATACCCATCAACTAGTACTGAGGTGACAGGTTGTTTGACATACTACTTGTTCTTTCTGACAGGTTGAGGGGTTAAGTTCTTTGCCTCAGAAACTTCTTCTTCCAATGTCTCCTTCTGGAAGCTAAGGTAGATGACTCCCTTTAACTATTTTACATACTCCTCCTTAGTCTGCCCAGACTTTGCAGCACAAGTGTGGATTATGTTCCTTAATATCCTTATCCTCTGGAGGTATTTTTCTTTTGGAGTCCTCTTGATTGAGTAGTGAACAGGGCATGGTGGGGAGCGGGCTATCTTAGCTGCCCTCTCCTCCCCCTGAGCAGCAGCGAGGGGGTAGAAGCAACTCCCCTTAAGGAGAGGAGAGGAAGCAGGAATAGGTAGCTCCTTAGTAGCCTCAGGCTCTACTCGGTCTAAAGTCTTAAAAGGTATAATTCTCTGAGCCTTAGAGATCCTCTTCCTAAGTCTCCTCAGATAGTTCTTTTTCTGGTTCTTAGTGGTAAAGGTAAGCCCAAAATTGGATCCTTCCTCAAAAATAGATTTAACTTCAGTGGGAACCTCAACAACTAGTTTAGATTGTTTCTTCTCATCACTGACTACTAACAAGGCAGGTGCAGATCCCACAATCAACTCAACCACTGGGGGAACTTCCTTACTGGCATCCAAACTAACTATCTGGTATCCGTCCATGGAGAACTCAAGGGTATTGATTCCCATCCAAAACATGATAGTGTTTCCCTTGTCATTCACTGTTAAGGACAGCTCTCGGTCGAAGGAGAAAATTAATTTGCTAGCCATTTGAAATTTTTTGAAAATTAAAGAGGGGATTGGAATTAGATTTCTTTTAGAAGAGAAAAATTTTGAAAAATTAAAGCTCATAATATAATCTCAACTCCCCTTCCAGTACATGTTAAGTGGTAGAAAATATCACCCAACACACACTAGTGGGACAAAGAGACTATGCATGTGCCAGAGGAGATTTAGATTTTGTAACACATGTTAGCCCATAGAGGGATCCTATGGGGTAGCATGTGATGACTTGAAATTTGGAGAAAGTTTTAAAAGGAAATTTGAATTTTGTGATATTTAAAGTGGTTTTCTCACCAATTCCAAAACACAATGGGCAGAGTTTCCCCTTGCCCGAAGGCTTATGGAACTGTGAGAAAACTCAAGTAAAGTAAACAGCTTGACCCTCCCCACTTCTAAGGATCAAAAAGGGAAGCGAGGGGGTTAAGGCTAGGGTATTTACAAATACCAAAATTAGGGTCTTCAAATTCTTTGCAATCTTAAGAATTTTTATATTATATAAAAAATTATTAATTATAAATTCATAAGATTGAAAAGGATATCCCAAAGATCTGATTTGACACTGTCACCTCAACGGTTGACCCGGGGGCAGAAGCTCAAAATCTGAACAGACAGTTAGTATCAAAAGGAAATTGGAGGTAGGACCTCTCTTTTTATCATACAAGTTATTTTAGATGTTGGCCACACTCACCCAAGAGAGAAATGGGTAGAGGGACAAATGGAAGAAAGGTAGTTAAGACTACCGATGAGATAAAATTTTGTTACTATTAAAGATGGAGAGAGAGATTTAGTCCCACGAGGCGTGTCATTTTTTTGTTGGTGGAGTTTTGAAAACATGTTTTGAAAATATTGGTTTTCTTACGGAGTTAAAATTTAAATTCCAATTATAAAATCGAATCATCCCGTTAGAAAGAGTATATCACCTCGGAAGGTGAAAATAAAATTTCATAACGACGTTCAGATTTAGAATTATGAAATTCATCTTAAATATCATAACCGGATACTAAAGAGAACTTCATATGGACCAAAAGGGTCAAAATGAGGTTCTACTGAATTTCCAGCTACGATATTCAAGAAGTGTGATCATTGATTTTCCATCCAAAGCCTTATCAAAGAAAAGTGAATCTCCTTAAAGGGATAAAATGCCATTCGATGATAATTCTTTGAATTTGATAATAATGATCATTCTTTGATCTTTCCCAAAGGAAGCCAATACAAATTTTAAAAAAATCAATTTTTTTGAAATCAGGTGAATATGTGGTTCTAAATCTCCTACGAGTGTAATCCCTCGTAGTTAATTACATCGTATGGAGTGATGTCAAAAAGACAGGAACTTTGGAAACTCAAAAGGGAATGGATCAAGATTGAGCAGTTATTAACAGAGTCAGGGGAAGAAATGTAGGGGACACTTCGAGATTCCGGAACCATCCGGAAGTGTCCCAACTTAATCTAAGTGTTGGGCTTTACATTTTAAGATTGAAAGAATATTTAATTAGAGTTGAGCATTTTATTAGAAATTTTGGATTATATTCTCGAAGTTTAGGGTCTCAAAATCAAAGATATGCCCCAGATCTTAAATTTAATTTGGACACCGGACCATAGTTGTCCGAACCTAACTAATTGAGTGCAGATCCTGGACTTATCCCGGCCTAGATTGGGGAGCCAACTAACCACCTAATCGATTTAAAATAGATGAATCCGGTCTTTTATGAAAGAGTGATAGGGACATTTTATTTAAAGTTTTGGAGAGTTGGGGCCGATATCTAGAGATTTTTCTAATTGGCCCCTTTGACTTATGCTGGGTGCAAAAATTCTAGGACTAATACAATTAAAATTTTAACTCTTTTAATTTATTTTTAATGAAATGCATGCTAGTTAACAACCTCAAACCAAGTATGCTTGAAAGTTAAAAACAGGCTTAGAAAATAATTTTTTAGAAGACTGGACTTCCCCATGTCCGGCACCTCGTCCTCATAGGTCAGACTATCCGGACTTTACCCGCAAGTGGGAAAGGGTCTAAAGCAAGGAAAGAAGAAGTGCAGAAATATGCATGCGACCCCAAGCTCGGTCCCCTGCTAATTCCCTAGATTCGTTATCTTTCTTTATTATTTAGACTCACTAAATTTTAAACTTTAAGATTATGAGTATAAAAATTTTCACACTCTTATGAGTCTAACGTATCCAGGTGAAAAAAAAAGTGACACACAAATGCAAAAAAAAAATTAAGAAAAGTAGGCAACCCTAAAGGCAATCACATCAAAAATATTAAATATAAATGAATTAATCAATAAAAG